CGGCGAGTATCTAACATATTACTCAGAATTAGAGGTTCATAGTATTTTTTGAGACTGATTATCAAAGCTCGTTATTCTTGAAAATATAGGTTGTTTTGTAGTTATTTCTTGTTCAGTTTGTGATTCATAATGGTGTCAATTATTTCTCACGTGTGCCTTATGCAAACGTAATAAACTTAAACTCAAAACTAAGAGGGGGCAAGAAGTCCTGGGAAAATAATAGAAATAGCCCACGCATACCGAATTATCCCCCACCCCTTCTGAGGCTCGGTCTCGATTTTAACAGAAAGCACATTCATCATGCGGTCTTGAATGTATAGCCACCATTAATGCTTCCATATGTTGCGATAGCGCCTAGAATTCCAAGTTGAAAACCTTTCCTTCCAGGGCTCGTAGCTCCTGCTTGAACTTATCTAACGGCAATGGACCCATAAACATTTACAATGGTTTTTTTGAGATTGTGATATTGTAATAGTTCTCTTGAGGTCTGATTTTCCGACTCTTCGAGTCACTCACCATCAGTGACAAGTAAGAGAATGATCGGGCGAGTTGTCAAGCGGTGTGCGGTGAGCGCGACAACGCGGTGGCCCAGATTCTCGGCCTTCTTTTGGGGCGCGATACTGGGTCGAGCTCAAGGACAATCGGCCGCCGACGACAACTCGACCCTCCTTCACACACTGCAATTGTCACGCTTGTTATGTACACTCGTAGTAACATTTAATTTGTAACCTTTTATTCAGGCATTTCTTGACAACGATTTTCTAACACCGTCTTTAACATGATTTTTTACTTCACAATATCACTGTAATTTTTCAGATGCTTCGGTTAACCGTGGCCACCTTGTTCTGCGTCTCGTTCTCCTTGGCTGCACGACCCACCAATGGAACCCAGTGCCACAAAAATCAGGTATTACTTTCAAAAAATCGCTCACAAAATCTTTGGGCACCTGAAACATTAATTGAAGGAAGTTCACGTTTCTCTACTTGCTAAATCACAATAAAATAAATCATATATATGTTGCTGTAAAATAAATAATGGTGACAATGGCATTGCCTTGAGAAACCGAATTTTGAGAGATTTTCACACTAATGACTTTGAGATTTTAAACTATCTTTTTTTAGTTTTGCCACACCTGGATGATTTCGGGACTGATTACTCAGAGTAACTAATAATTGTACCTGTAGAAAGTTTTCGAACTTTACCTCCTTCGCTTGAAATTGACCATAACAGTCCATATTTCCCAGAATTAAGGCGGAATTTACGCTATAAAAAAAACCAACAGCCCAAGTTGAGTTAAGGCATGTTCAGTGACACAAGAAAGAAGGAAACCATGAGAAACCGCCCGGAAGCCGAAAATGAGACCCCTTTCTTACCCGATGATTTCCGCATTGATGTGACTCTCATCGTGCCCTGTTCAACGCCAACGCTCTCTATGCATGCCGGTGGCGTACCGCGCGCGAACTGCGCCAAGAGTGAGCCATGCTAGATCGCCGGGTCAAATCTTCCGCTGCTAATCGCGAGTCGGGGGTTAGGGTCCGACTGTCTCCCAATTAGGCAATTTCACATTCTTTGACTTCCGTTCTCATCCTGGAATCCTCTTTTAAAGCATCAAATCTCGCTCGAATGTTTTCGCCCTTGCTATTATGTTCTCCTCCTCCGCTCTTTTGACTTAAATACCCTATCGAAACGGCTCCTTCACAATAGGTGAAATAAAAGGGTGAATCATATCGGAAAGTCGGACTGCGCGAATATGCGGGTTCGGTTTGTTGATTCAGGATAGGTCACGTGTGCGTCGACGTATTCGGCACTATTGAGCTATTACAACCCCAGAGGGGGTGAGATGGATCAAAAAAATTTTTTCGCTGAAACTTGCGGCTAGGGGGTTATCGAGGCTCCTGATCACGAATATGACCTTAGTTTTTGGCGCTGGCGCCAAATTGGCGCCATTTGGCGCCAAGGGTGTTCTCACCAAATTCGCTGTAAACTTGTGAATAGGGGTTATCGAGGCTCCTGATCACGAATATGAACCTTAGTTTTTTGGCCGCTGGGCGCCAAGGGTGTTCTCACCAAATTCGCTGTAAACTTGTGGATAGGGGTTATCGAGGCTCCTGATCACGAATATGACCTTAGTTTTGGCTCAATTTCTCTAGGTGACGCTCGAAATAGATGTCATCTAGGCGCTCATCCAGTAAGGGGGGGCATCAAGTGGCTGCCCTCACCCCCCACCCCCCTGAACTGGCTTCACTCCCCCTGGCTCACGGGGTCCCGTACTTCGAGAAACCTGTGTGCCAGGGGGAGTGTAGGCAGTCTAGGGGGGTGGGGGGTGAGGGCAGCCACTTGATGCCCCCCTTACTGGATGAGCGCCTAGATGACATCTATTTCGAGCGTCACCTAGAGAAATTGAGCCAAAACTAAGGTCATATTCGTGATCAGGAGCCTCGATAACCCCCCTAGCGCAAGTTTCAGCGAAAAAATTTTTTTGATCCATCTCACCCCCTCTGGGGTTGTAATAGCTCAATAGTGCCAGTATTTCTTCGCAGGGAATACATTGTCTATTTGGAAGGAAATGAGCCATGATTACTGTGATCAGAAGGGAAGTGAGCTCATCAACAGTTTGCTTCCAAGGTATGGGATCGCGGCGACTTGTAAGCAGTAATGTCAGCTAAACTGTCTCAGTACGGCGTGGCCCTTTTCTGAACAAATTCGATCAATGCAATGACTTTGTTGTTCCATCGAAGAAGATCAGTTCGAGAGACGTCAAGAGGTTCCCCGAAGGGGCTGTACAGAATTTTTGAGGAAATTCCGTATACCATCTACTTCGGAAAACAGGAAGAGCGTCGAATGCAGACCAAACATCGCAAGTGGCGATGGTCAAAAAAACGAAAAGAAAAAGCCATTTTTTCATGGCCGTCGTCACTTGTGGTGTGTGGCCTGCACTCGAAGCTCTTCTCGTTTACCGAAATGGAGGGTAGTTATTACGAAATACACAATTTTCTGCATGAAAGGTTGTAGTGGAGCGAGTTTACACTGCAGAGATATGAACTTAAACGACGTTTGGACGACGCTGCCGGCCGTAATTATGCGCGCATGCTTGCAACATTTATTTGTATGTAATTGTACATGGATCGTGTGGACAGAAACGCATCAAAATAAATATAAGAAAACAGTCTGCTCAATGCGAAAGTGTGGTATGACCTCGTACCACATGTTTGTCAACGTGATGCGTAAATGCTTATACTTTTTAGCAATGGGGAGGTGTTTCGATTACAAACTTACCTCGATTTCAAAATCATCTGAGAAAGATGCTATGGGCGTAGAATTGTGGACTGCGCGATGAATAGTACCCCTCTGCTATGCTTGAGCAAAAACCCTTTTTATTATATTACATTCAGTTTTCGGTCCTAGTACGTGCTAAATCAACCCATTCATACCAACAAAGGAAAATTCCAAACTATGACGCTCCACTCCTTTTCCCGACTGGATGACCCTGAGCAACTGAAAATGTGAATATTTGCATGCCCCAAGGATTTTTCGTCCTCCTTCCTTTTTTGTTGTTTTGGAGTTTCAAGGCACGCTCCACTTTTTGATGTTACTCGAATCTTATACGAGCACTCGTATGAACCGATTATAGGATAGGTAAAACTGAGGTGTGTTTGTACGCGAACTCGCTTAAGCTTCGGAATGAATTAGGCTAGTGTCTGTTCCAAAAATGCTATGCCCAACGCAGTAGTTGACCCTATTGCAGTTCCAACCAGGGTCAGTCCTATCGTTGTTACTTTTTCAAAAATTTTTACGATCACCCTCCCCCAAGGTGGACTTGATACGACCCCCTTTTTCACACCTCGACCCACCATCATCGTCCCTATAGTATTTAATCCTGATACCACACAACCCACCAAACCCGGCCCACTTTTTCCTCCAGAACTGCCGTCGAGCGAGGGTATATACTCGCGCTGAAACGGCGCATTTTTCTCGCACCGTTGGGCGCTCTTCCCAACTCAGCCTAGCCTACTACTCGTGAAAATCGAGATGCTCTGCAAGCCACCTTTCACCACAACCTTACACATGTACTCCTTCACGGACGACTGCGAAGCGGATAACGACACCCCCCCCCCCTACTATAAACTCAACCAAGCGTACGATCGCTCTCCGTTTGTTACCCTCAGCTCGAAATCAACGTAGGATTGACCTGGTCCTCAACCTTTTATTTTTTCAGTCTTTCTGGCACGACTTCACTCCAATCAAACCCTATTCAACAGCTATTCTGACGTTTGTTCTTAAAGGTTCTCTATCCGCTTAGTCAATCAGCCCAACTCCATTACCTGAACAATGGAAACATAGTCCGGCAATTGGACTCCTTCGGCACTACAGTACACGGCCGTGGCTTCTCGACTACGCCAACCAGTAACTGGTAATAAAGAATACGCAGGCTGGATACATTACGTAAAATGACACGGTCGTATACCACAGAAAACACTGTTGGCTTCAGGGTATGGCCATCGATATTGCAGTGAGTACCTCTCCTATCCGGCAAGCTCATCTCGAAACTGTTCGACTTCATATTGAACTTCGCGCGATTTCGCCACATTCCATAGGTGTCTTTTTCCTTTCCGGTTGGAGGCGGCAGCTAATCGTCTAGGAAAAGTAACTCGGCTCCCTCACCACACCCTTTCAATCATCCGACAGAAACAACCTCATTTCGGCCGACGCATTCGGTCCATATAATGCCTACGCTTGCGCTCTAAACACTGCACTTTCGTACCCCAGATTCATCCGCTCGCGACATTAACCTTCCATTTCCATATAAGGCAATAACCCGGATCAAAGCGGTCCTTCGAGACAGTACGCCGCTTGAGCCGCGAGTCGTCCCGGCCTGCCGATCTCACTTCGAAATGAGCCGAGTGTGGGCCGATCCCTTGTGGAGAAGTTGGTCGTCGATGCATTCAAGATCAGGCAAGCTGTCGTGCCGATACGGATGTCTTTTCCGGAATGCGTTGGGCACCAAATGGGCAAAGGTATGGCGCCAGGTATGACTCTATTTCTTCTGCAAAATTAATCGTACACTATTACAGCGTCCTACTGAGGTGCTGTACAATCAAAGTACCGAATAAGATCTATGTTGGCACAGACCTCGTCACAGCCGGTTCTTATTATGAGGGTGGAGTCGTTGCCAAGAAGGATATGTACTATCCAAAGGGACGAGAGTACGACTTCATCGCTAACGTGCGAACTGAACAGTAAGATCAATTGAATGATTCAATTCAGAGAGTGCTGTTTCTTAAAGAGTTGTCCACGAGAAAATATTTCTATTTCGCCGCAAATCACTGGCTCTCGATCGACAATTCACGGTTCGAAAAAAACGAGAACAAATTGTGTCTGTTTCAATAAACATTGAGAAACTAAGGAATACGCTTTCAAATTTCCGCCGTACGTCTATCAAAATGTGTCGATGGGAACGCTTCCACTTATCTCTCTGAGTGTCTTTGCTGGAGGCTCTTTTTGGCCCTTCCACCTTTGGCAAAACCTTCTTCCACCGCATTGTATTCTATGTATAGATCGTTCCCACTCTCTCTGTTCCCGAATCCGAACGCTTTACCCGATTTTTCGAAGCGTCGCTTGACGTGGCCGCAACAAGGAACAGTTCATTGCATGCACTCTCTTGCCTCCGCCCGACTCTGCTAGCTTCAAAGAAATATCAAAAAGCAGTCAGGAGTCAACATTACCGTGCCTAATGACACGTCGCAGCACGCCGCGAATAGTCGCCACACCCTAGTTTAATAACAAATAGGCAAATAGAAAGCCTGTCAATCAATGCTTTCACTAGTGGATTTACTTCAACTGTTTAAATCGCTCGCGAGTCGCGTAATTCGCTAGCGGCTGGTCGCAGGTTCCGACACTTGCCTAAAATATAGGGGGGAAGGGAAACGATAGCCTGCGAGAACAGATGGGGTAATTCCCTTCGCATTAATCCATTCCTTTTATTTGAACATCCAAACTTTTGAATGCTGAGCCTTATGTTCATTCAACCCTATGACCGTAAAACTGACAAGAGCCTCACGCAGCTGCTTTACCTATCTTCTCTTTGAAATCACTGCTCGCTGTACCCTCATAGTAGAAACTACGATCATTCGTTGCTGTTATATCGACTTGTCTTTGTTGTTACCCTCAGATCACATAATTCGCTATCCCGTTAGGGGTGCTATGAATTTGCTTCTTCGACCTTCCCACAAATCAACGCTACCCTTGGGTGTTGTGGTGATCCTTCAAATTTCCAATAACTCTTGGACAAGTCATATCGTAGAAGAGTGAAAAGCAACTTGTTCGCCATCGGATAGCTCTTTGGGTTTCGCCAGTCAGCTGCAAGTTGGCCCTTTTCTCTTCTCTCTTATCGCTTCCTCGGCCTTTTGGCTGAGATTAAAGTTTAGTTTAGTTTTTTTTTCGTTGTTATCACTTGGCGTGAAAATGTCTTGGGAATTAGTGGACCTGCTCGATGCACTCTATCACGCTTCTTTCATATTCGACATGCTTCCCGATCGGGTAGGTCTCCGGAACATGCTCTCACTGCATCTACCATAAGGAGTTTCCGCCTATGGTAGATGCGCCCTAGACCGCCGCCCTCTTGCCCTATAGGAGGGCAAAAAGTGGCTGGAACTTACCGCAGAGGCGAACATAACATAAGGTCAAATTAGGGTCAGCCGTCGCGTTCTCATTTTTATAAAAATTTTGCGACCCCCTTTTTTAGGAAGGTCTCGATGCGACCCCTCCATCACTATCCTATCCCGCCAGTACGACACCTCTTCTCCCGAACCCGATAAGCACACCGCTATTATGACTGTTCCTAGTACTTGATTCCTTAGATCAGTCGACACACCCAACTTCGCCTATTTTCCCTTTCAAAAGACCATTGAGGTCGAGCGAAGGGATAGGGAGGAAGGAGAAATGCGAGTAGGGGGAAGGGGAAAACTGGGTTCTGGGCGGCCAAATCCAACAATTTTGCCAATTTACCCTATCTGGTGAAATTTTCACCGACTCGAAAAGCTCGTTAATTAGTCAAGTCCCGTCAACCCAATCCAATTTTTACGACCATTTCCCATAGTTTCTTAAACTGCTCACCCCAAAGTGCGATTCCACTCCCCCCGTTTCCAAAACCACTAACGCGACCCCCTTGTTCAATTAGTGTGAATGGGCGATTGGACCTGAATCAGGGTGAAAATCGTGTCGAGGACGTGGTCACATCAGTACGACCCCCCCCTCAGATCGGGGTCTTGATACGACCCCTCTAACTTTGATTTGATGTGAATAAGCGAGTTCCATCAATGTACAGCAAAGCATTCAGTTGCAGCGCGGTTTATCCGTGGGTCAGATTTGCCGAAACCCCGCTCGAAACCGTCGAAATCTACACTCTCGATGAAAAGGTTTCATTTCATTTCCCTTTCCATTTCATAACCTTTGGAGCAGTATGTGGTAGGGTTAGATAGAGCTGGATTTGCTACTACCGGGCAATATTGAAATTGATCTAAAATCTTTACACTCGAAGAGATAGGGTCTCTCAAATTTTGTCGAGGCAGCGTCGAGGATGCTGAATTTTTCATGCGAGTTTTGCCACTTACCAGGAAAGGCATTCAACTTCCCATGGAACTTTGAGATGAGACCCAGATATATCGATAGAGCTTCAAACGCTGATTACAAATATGGAAACTAAAACTGCAAAATGAACCTGCCAAGGAAGTTGTGAGCAGTCAAAGTTGGCTGGAAGTAAAGCATTACACTAGCCTCCAGCTTTCAAAGCCGCCGTAGTGCAGTGATAGTGCTCTCGAACTTCCTTGGCAGGTTCGTTTTGCAGTTTCAGTTTCCATATTTGTAATCAGCGTTTGAAGCTCTATCACTATCTGGGTCTCGACTTAAAATTCCATGGGAAGTTGAATTCCTTTCATGGTTAGGAGGCAGTATTTCTTTAATTTCGTAGGACCTCAAAAAAAGACGGCAGTTCATGAAAGCGGAAGGTTTGCGCTTTCTAACAGTCTGTTTAGCTTTCTTCTACATTTTCTAGTTGAGGAGATATTTGCGTCGAGGATCTATCGAGGACGGATCTCGGCCACCTAAAAACCGCTCCCTTCTTCACCATTGCAAGTTAATTCGTTGGCAACTCTCGAAATGTGTCTAGAATAAATTCTTCCAACGTAAGCGATAAGAAAAGGGGCAATCGTCATCATCCGATTTCGTCTCAGTATAGGCCATGCATCCGACCTCCACTCAAGTTGTAGAATCTATTGAAAGGTGTTATATACATGAGGTCCATATATCGTAACTCCCATAACTTGAGGAGCAGCTTCATTTGCCCAGGGCCTTTCCTAGAACTATTGTCGTTTTTGCGACAGCGTCCCTAACAACAGTGTCATTCTCAACGAGGTATTGAGGGCGAGGGAGCGGGCGGTAGATAGAGGAGGTGCCTTCGCAGCGCGTGTGCACATGTGACCCTGTTCCTTGCAAAGATGCACTTTCATTCTTTGTAGTACTTTCAAATACTTCCTTCTCGAAGGTAGAGGGACGGAGCGACTGAACCTGCAAAGAATATTTTATATCATGTTTTCTCACATATCCTTATTTTCTGCTGCGCTACACCCTCTCCCTCTATCTGCACCACGATACCACTGACGTTACTGACCCCCAACGAGTACGACCCCCATGACCCAGCCCGACAAATACGACCCCCTGTCGAGGATTTCCTCGACCGTTATTCACCCTGCCCTAAATCCAATGTGCCGTCTACAGAAACGAGCTTCAAAACTGATAAAGACAGAGCTAAACGACGCGGAATTGAATTTGTTCCCAAAGTAATGCGTATACTTTCAGAGGTGGAGTACGTGTATGGGTCTATCGGATAGCATGTGGAGAGAAGGATCGTCGTGTGGAGTTTGAGCCGATAATGGTTGCACAACCACAACAACCTCTATCTCAGCCTTCTGTCGAAAGGCTCACAGTGTCAGAATTCTCTCATTATACTATTACTTCTTCACTGGGCATAATCGTTTTGAATGTTTGCCAGCCCAGAACGCAAGGAACATCTAAACAGAATCAGAACGTGCTGTGACGTTGCTCGCCCCATCGAGTTCTTACCTAACTCCCCTACTTGATAATAAGCAAAACTAGCCCTGACATACACTGCGTCCCATAATTATACGTCCACCTAAGAATTTCCCAAAATCTCACAAATATAGATGTTTCGAAAAAAGTCTCCAATGTGACAATGTATCGCATATAAATACGCAATTGCCTATGAACATCAATTTTCTATTTGAGATCACAGGAATTTTTTCCAATAATTTTTGTGTAAAAGGCCACTCAGCCGACGTCCCAAAATTATACGTCCACCTCACGTTTATCGATTACTTTTCACTTCTGTTCCACGAAACTTTTTCATTGTGGTAACACTTCACTTCTTAAGGGGACAGCATAATAAAAACTGCTGTTGGATTTTGAAAAGGTTAGGTTGTCGCAAAAACTGTTGAACAACGCAATTCGCGCCAGATTTGGACCAAATTCACGCCAAGCTCAAGAATTTTCTTCAGGGGTTTCACATGATATGGAGTTCAGAAGAGCTCTAAAAGTCTCTCATTACTTTTCGATGGAAACAAAGGCCGTGTTCACAAAAGAAACATCCACTTTCATCCAACGGTGCTCTGTCATCGAATCTTCTTGAGAACTTTATGCCTCAACGGACTTTTGTTTCATGCATGTAAAGGAATCCCAAGATCATTCTTGATTGGAAAATGTGAAAGGCATTCATTTGTGGCAAGGAATCGTGGCGAAAACTGGGCTGATTTTTGCATGAAGGTGCAGCCGAGCCGACTGAAGTAAGGTTCGCTTCTGCCCGATATGTTTTGGCATTTGTTTGTTTTTCTTCTCACGTTTACCTTTCCCTTAATGGCTTTTTTCTTAGTGAAGCACTACTAAAAGAAAGAAAATGTTGAAAAGAAAGACAGACAAACACTCATGCATAGCAAGGAAAAAGGACCCTGCTCCAGTCGGCTCGGCTGCACCTTCATGCAAAAATCAGCCCAGTTTTCGCCACGATTCCTTGCCACAAATGAATGCCTTTCACATTTCCAATCAAGAATGATCTTGGGATTCCTTTACACGCATGAAACAAAAGTCCGTTGAGGCATAAAGTTCTCAAGAAGATTCGATGACAGAGCACCGTTGGATGAAAGTGGATGTTTTTTTCTGTGACACGGCCTTTGTTTCCATCGAAAAGTAATGAGAGACTTTTAGAGCTCTTCTAAACTCCATATCATGTGAAACCCCTGAAAAATTCTTGAGCTTGGCGTGAATTTGGTCCAAATCTGGCGCGATTGCGTTGTTCAACAGTTTTTGCGACAACCTAACCTTTTTCAAAATCCAACAGCAGTTTTTATTATGCTGTCCCCTTAAGAAGTGAAGTGTTACCACAATGAAAAAGTTTCGTGGAACAGAAGTGAAAAGTAATCGATAAACGTGAGGTGGACGTATAATTTTGGGACGTCGGCTGAGTGGCCTTTTACACAAAAATTATTGGAAAAAATTCCTGTGATCTCAAATAGAAAATTGATGTTCATAGGCAATTGCGTATTTATATTGATACATTGTCACATTGAGACTTTTTTCGAAACATCTATATTTGTGAGATTTTGGGAAATTCTTAGGTGGACGTATAATTATGGGACGCAGTGTATGTAAATACAGTAGCGGGTCCACCAGGCCACAACGCATTGAAAATTCCATGCTCAATCCGATACGAGAAAGGCAATCTACATATTTTCATAAAAGTGATGACTTTTCTGGGGCATCACTCCCAAATGTAAGGTTGGGTGATTCTCCTTAAAACACCATCTCTTCAAATCAACGTAGGAAGTGCCTTCGAAGTCGCATCCGCAGTCGGCGATTCAGTCGCACGACGGCGATTCGAATTTGCGGATCGCGCGATTAGTCAATGGTTTATTTTGCGAATCGCTAGTAGCGAATCGTTGGATTCGCAAAGTCTGACACCGGCCAATACCGCCACTATTCGCCGTGACGGGTGTTGATTATACGGTTTGACCACATATACATTTGCGCCGGTAGATTTTTGATGCACGCTGACTATCCACGTGTCGTTCAAAACTTGGTGCAAGAAACACGATCCTACAATATATAATTCGCTAAGTATGTCTGTCTGTGTG